TTCTGGCCAGAAATTGCGCGAACCGCAGCCTTCCTGTCCAATCGGTCGCCCTCGTCCAAACTCAACATGACTCCATATCAAGCGTGGTACGGTGACAAGCCGGACTTATCACGACTCCGAGTGATCGGATCCAAAGGGGAGTACTTGATTCCCCCCAAACTGAGGAAGAAGCTCACAGGGCCAAGGACAAGGCCATGCATCCTACTAGGCTACGAGGGAAATACCAACTACCGTATCCTGCTGGAAGACGGACGAATCGTTGGGACCCCAAACGCTGAATTTCATGAAGTCCTTGAAGCTCCTTCCACACAGACCAGAGAAGATGTGGTGGCCAGACAAGACGGCTTACCTGCGGTAACGGCTGCTGCCGCAGGGGGGAGTGAGACGCTGGGACTAATAAACCAACCGTCGGTAGGCATACGGCAAGCATCCGTGCCCGCCTCTGGGCGCCAATTGTCGATGGCACCACCAGAACGGGCCCTACCAAAGTCGAAGAAACATAACTCGCACATACTGCTTCGATCGAGTAACGATAACTCACGAGGGCTAAACCAGTCGAGTAACAAAGACTCGCAAACACCAGCGTCGTCTCAATCGAGTGACGAAGACTCGCAGCCACCCGTTGCTGTACAGGGAGATAGGACCTTGTCGCCCACAAGGAGTGACGATACCTTTGGACCATTCGCAGATGATTTACAAGACATCGTCCAGAGGAATGAGTCACCAACCGGCGGCGACCAGCAACAAGGCGACGCTCACCAAGGTCAAGACCTAGGAAAAGGGCAACGATATCCAGAAATCCAACGTGACCACCCAATTCATACGGTGCCACAAGAAGCACTAGAAAACCATCCTGAACTCAAAGTTCGCGCTCCGCAGGTCATACTAGACACATTTAGTGACAGCGAAGAAGAGCTTGCGTTAATGAATATACCCAAAGAACACATCATCCCAACGTTCTTAACAGTGGCTGCAAAGGAAACAGAACCTTTTGAGCCAAGTCCCCTGCATCAAGCAAAAAATGACGCGAGCTGGCTCGAATGGGAAGGAGCAATGCTTGAAAAAGTGAACTCGCTCCACCAAAACAAAACGTGGGAGCTCGTTGATCCTCCCACAGATCGCGGATTCTCAGCGGAAAATGGGTCTTCAAAGTCAAACGAGGACCGCATGGCGAAGTCATCCGCTACAAATGCCGATGGGTAGTGAGAGGCTTTACACAAGAAGAGGGGATCGACTATGACGAAACATTTGCCTCAGTGGTCAAGCCAATGAGCTACAAAGCTCTATTCGCAATCGCGGCGGCCCTAGATCTCAACGGCATTCCTGTATGGGTACATAGACCACGAGATCTACGTCGAACAGCCTCACCACATGAGCGACGGCACATCTAAGGTCTGCAAACTTCGAAAGGCACTGTATGGCCTCAAACAAGCTCCTCGGGTTTGGTACCAGACCCTTACAAATTTCCTTCGGAACCTCGGCTTCGAGCCGATCAGCTCTGATCTTGGGATTTTCATCCGGAGCAATATGTACATCGCGGTGTACGTCGACGATCTCCTGATCGTGGGGCCAAGCACTGCAGAAATAAAGAGGATCAAGCGGAGCCTCCGAAACCGCTTCCAAATGACAGATCTAGGACCATGCAGTTACTATCTCGGAATATCCGTTCAGCGAGACCGTCAAAACAGGACGCTGTACCTCAGTCAAGAAGCGTATATTGACAAGGTCGCTCACCAGTTCGGAATCAGCAATGGCGCTCCCGTCGGCACAACACCAATAGAAATCTCACCACTTCCCGAGAACAGTCCCGGATATGACTGTCCTCCAAACCAAAGAGTCACATACCAACGCATTGTCGAGTCCCTAATGTACATCATGCTTGGAACTAGGGGGGACGTCGCGTATGCCGTTTCGATGGCGAGCAGGTATCTGGGAAATCCCGGACCGCAACACATGAAACTTGCCTGACGCATCTTGCGATACCTCAACGGCACAAAAAGCCTCCAGCTCACGTACAAGGGTCAGCCCCAGATGCTGAAAGGCTTTACAGATGCAGACTGGGGTGGATGTCGCAACACCAGACGATCAACAGCTGGATATCTCTTCAATATCGGGAGTGGGGCAATCAGTTGGCAATCGAAGCGCCAAAGCGTTGTTGCCCTCTCGACCTGTGAAGCTGAATTTCTAGGCCAGACACAAGCAACCAAAGAAGCAATCTGTTTGAGAAGACTTCTCAATGAGTTGAACATGAGCCAAGGTAAAGCCGCCTCGATCATTTGTGGTGACAACCAAGGAGCCATCGCCCTGTCTTCGAACCCGCAATGCCATTCCCGCACGAAGCATATGGGAATCCAACGCAAATGGCAAGGTGAGTTCCAAGGCCTTGGAACAGTGGAGCTGAAATACATCCCAACTACTGAGCAAATTGCTGATGGGTTCACGAAGCCTCTTCCGCGGGAACGATTTGAATGGTTTCGGAAAGGGCTTGGCATTGAGTGACACCACCCAGCTTACGGGGACAGACTAAGCCACACGGGTACCCTTTCCTTCTTTTCCTTTTGAAGGTTTTTGAAGGTTTTAACGGGACCCTTCACCACCGTGATGAATGGTCGCTGGCACCCTTGATGGTGGTCGCCATCGGGTGGGAGTGTTGAATATCACGGTGGCTGAACCTTATGGCAGGGATGGGACCAGGCATATATATGTGCTATCCCGCCCTTGTAAACGATAACTCCTTAAGTAACCTACGATCAATCACTCTATTCTCACTTCAACAGGGACATTGGTACCTGTTCGCAGAGCAAAATTGCCCGGGCGGCTAGTATGCTGTTCCTGATTAGGTAAAGTGCCTCACTACCTCTTGGCGTCAAAGTGCCGGTCTATATAAAGTCACCTTCATGGAACCATTAAGGACAGCCAGCTTTCATGCTACAGTATCCCGTAACATTTTCTGTATTAAAGCATTATAAAGGATTGCCATTCGATGTGACTTTTCATGTTCTACGCTTCGCTAGTCCTCTACTGGAGTGAGAAGGCTGACCTCCCGGTGTGAGGCCGAGTCAATACGTCCAAGCCCGGCGAGGAAAAGGCATTGTTGGGTCAGAAGATGATTCAATTGTACTGTACCCTCGAGCCTTCCTTGCAGAAATTGGTCTGCTGAAGTGAGAGTGGCAGCAAGCCTGCGAACACACCATATGAAACCGAGAGCTCGTTTTGACTTGTTGCCACGAAGGGAATTCGCTACGGTTTGGGAGGTGCTGCTACCGGTAAGCGACCAGATTTTATATACTCTGGTTATATAAAGATTGAGCAGAATGTATCCTTCACGGTTCAGGCCAGAAACTTTCGTTTCTTCTAGCAAGAGGATGGAATCCCTAGTGCACAGCTTATTCCGCATCGCTTCTGCAACAGTATGCTGATGGCTCTCACCTGGAATCTATATATACTAGTCCGGATTTCTTCCGTTGTCTAGGCACAATCGTGTGTTTCTCGGGATTCTACGCAATCTGCCATTGCATTGTGGGTCAAACACGTGCCCGAAGTAAGCGAAAAGTTTCGCCTTTTCGGATTCAGAGACGCCGACTTTGAGGGACATCCAATTTGATGTCGCCTTTCACAGCCATCTGATCGGGTCCATAGTTTGACGGGAAGTTGATGAATATTCTGGATAAATGCAGGCCAGTATTTGTCCTAGCGATCACGCGTGATGGGTTGCGTCTCCGCTTTCCGTACGGGCACCTGAACCGCTGTCCGTATATCCAGCCTTGCTCCCCTGTGAAGCATGTTGGAGCAGGATATGGGGTCGATTGTTTGCCTTGTTGTTATTCGCTCTATGCCTGAAGATCATGGTACTCCCCCAAATGCTATGGATTTGGCCGTTGAACACGAGTAATCTGGTAAGCTGGCGTGGGTGGGGGGAGAGTTCTCAGAAATGATGATACGTCCTCCTCGCAATCGAATTCGGAGTGGGAGTGCGCTTGTGATTTCCCTAACTAGCCAAAAACGTCATTGGCCGCTTCCAGAGGATAATTCCTGTACAGCGAAAGGTAATTCAGAAACCCCTGCTGCACGGCACCGACCAGGAGGGACATCCTTGGCGAATATTATTGAGGAAAGGACGATATGCTTGACGTCTACTCCGCGCAAGCTGGCAAGGAATGTGGGCGAATCTGTCCTCCAGCGCCCAGTACACCCTTGACGTGCCTGACGGCGGCTGCATGAAGGAAATGAGAATTGTTCTTAGACAGCCATAGCAAAGTGAACCTCTATAGGAACGTGCTCTGGGCATAGGAGAGTGTTATGCAGCTGCTTGATGGCGTTGGTGGTCATGATCGAGACATGTCTCTCCTGCGCAGATACGTCATCAGCACCGCTAATCAAAGCAGACAGAGCGACCCCTTGGAGGGTGATTTCACTGTCAGCTCCCGTTTCACCATCTTGTTCGCCTTTCGGAAATCCCGCGAATATTGTCGGGGACGTGATACCGATGTGTTCATGATAAAGCGACTCAAACACAATGGCCAGACCATGTTTCTCACTGCTCACCGCAATGGCCTCTATCGCCAGAGTAACTGGTAGGCGTTGGTCCCCATTTGATGGTCATCCACTGACGTAGAGAGGCCTCACACTACTCGGGACCCCAAGCGATAGCAGGGAACGAATTGGCTGCCAAATGTATCGGCGAGACGAAGTACTTGTCGGCAAGTCCACAGCAAGGAGGCACCCTCGCGGTGTATTAAGAATAGACGGGGAAATACGGGCTTTTCTCCACTTGTCGGTGAGCTCCGATGGGTACAAACTGCATAGTATTGAACCCTCAAAGGCTATAGTCTGAGCTCTCACCCTCTATTTTGAATGCAGTATGCGGCCAGATCGGCGGTCAGGCCACTTAGGCGCCAGACATCTTTTTTGCCCGATGGCAGCTAATCACTCCCGTGATATACTGAGTCCGTACGTCCTTTAGGGACACGTCTACGCTATTTGTCATGTCTTCCCCCTGGTGACCTCGCTAAAAGTAAATCGTCGTTATTCGACTATATAGACCAAAAATGTAGTGCTGTCCCCTTCTGCCTATAAGGTAAAATGGCGGCATGGAGCGAACATGTAACAAGTGCATACTTGTCTCACATATGCAAAGTTACGACCTTCGATAGATCAATCACGAATTTACCTACGTCGTCGCTTTTAGTGTCGGTTCAGCTTAGCACGAAGCTTCACGCCAAAGACGTAGAATCCATATGGGATGAAAACCATTCCCACACCAAGAAATGCAAGAAGCCAGGAAGCCCACTGCAACCCCAGCCGGTTGTACATTTGCGTGGTGAAGAGAGGAAAGGCAGCTCCACCACCGGATCGCAGGAAGACCTTAGCTGCTAGAGCCGAGGCAGCGTAATCCTGGTACGAATCGATGATATAGTTGTTCACAGCGTAGTAGCACAACACCATCCCATATCCGAACGCGATTCCCGACGATGCAGGCCCAACCCAGATGATGTGCTTGAAAGACGTAGCGCCGAGAATGAAGAGCGATATTGGAATAAAAGGGGCGCCAATAAGGGCGCCAATAAGCCGATCCTCTGCAGTAGGTTCCCGAACCTCGCATACCCTTTTGAACTGCTTCTCAATGAGTGGCGTAGTGACCAAAGCGAAGAATGAACCAATGAGGATGGGAATAAACATAAGACCGATCTGGCCATCGTTGTAGCCGTAGAGTCTACCGAATATGACGGGATAGGCGAAAAAGAAGGCATAGAGCATGGCGTAAATGAGGACGATGTACATACACATCAGATCGAGCACGGGCTCTGTCATGATCATCGTGATAGGTCGAATCAGGCTTGTACGCGCAATTTCCATCAAGGTCAATTTGTGCTTCTCCTGCTCAGTAACGATAGCCGTATTCCCCGTCTCCTTCCTGAGCTTTGCTGCTCGTCGTTTAAGGATTACTGGGGCGTACGTCTCCGGTATCAAACCTATGAGAACCAATATAGAACCTGCGAAAGCCAGGTTTACCCAGAAGAAAAGGTCCAAGCGACCCGACCCAACAGTGATCCAGCCACAGACAATCGGGCCAACAACGGGGCCACAGTAAGGTGCCGCCGCAAAATACGCAATGGCCATTCCTCGCTCCTCAATGCTCCAGATATCAGCAATGGTCCCACCGGCCAGGGAAAGCCCTGAGCTGGAGAATACGCCGCATAAGAATCGGCAGACGAGTAGCCCGCCTATATTTGGCGAGAGCGCACACGGAATGTTGAAGATGACGTACAGACCGAGCGACATTATGTACACAGGGCGTCGGCCGATGATTTCGGAAAGGGGAGACCACAACAGCGGGCCAACAGCAAACCCACAGACCATGATAGAGCAAGTGAGGATCGCGACTTCTAGCGAGACTTGGTACTTCTCTTCGATCAAACCAAGTCCCCCAGTGACAATAGACGACCCGAACGCAACACACACCACAAGCGTTGACGCGATCAATGTGATGTACCAACGGTACCAACGCGACCAATTGTAGGGATGCTCGGGATCTCCGACGGTGAATGTCACAAACTCGGCTCCCTTCGAAATAGCTTCTTCTAGACCCTCTGGACTTACTGTTGAGGGTCGGGTGCGGATTTGTTCCAATGTTCTCTCGGGAACAAGCCCAGTCCTAGTTTCAAGAACGTATTCCTCAGGGAAGATGGGACTCGCTGGCCGTCCAATATCCGGGTAGTTGTAGTCAAGCCGGGGTGTTCTATCTGTCACACCGACATCATTCAGAGATTCCCTGGTCTCTGATCGGACAAGATGCTGTAGTCCTTCAGGAGGACTTGTCCGGGGTTGGTGAGCCATTGTTGGTACGGTTGTATTTGATTTAAGAATGCAGTTGCCATATCGCAAATAAGCCCCTTGGCAGGTATCAATATGAGAAGCTGGAGGGAACTGACAGTAAACCCCCTGGGGCTCAGTCATGACGACATGCGTGCGACATGCATGCGCCATCAGCGGGGCCGAGGAAAAACCCAAATTTCGGCGAAGTCGGCCGAGAAAATGCTGCCTCTGCTTGAGGGTGATTCCTGCTGTCTATAATCTTGTAGTGTTCGTCAAATGTGCCTTTGCATCTGTGTCCGACGGGACATACCCATCCTTGGGGCCTGGCTTCAGGCGGACAGCCTGGGGGTAGATCCTCACCGTAAGCCGATCATCTAGAAATGCTTAGCTTGCTCGATATTCTTGAACGGATTTCGGCAGGGGAAGGAGTTACAGATATGGTTCGCCCATGCCTCGCGGCATTGTTGACGTAGGCGAGTGCGCTTTTCATTGATACCTCGGGCCATTGGACGTTTTCCGAAGACTGATGCGAATTATGTTCATGAGGCCTGCTTCTTAAGCCGTTGTAGGTTCGCGTCGCTCAGGTGAGCCAGCCGGTTATGCCACAGAGTCATTTGCGGACTGACATGGTAGGCAGGAAAAATAAGATTCTTCCAGAGACCAAGTGCGTACATTCCATGATACTGGCTGGCTGTGTATAGGTTCTTTCCGTTTGGCTTGATGCGAATACTAGCCCCCTGGCTTGAGAATTTAACTTTGGCTCCTCGATTGAGAAGCTGGAGCACCGATAGCAGGTTTGCGTGTGCAGACGGGACGTAGAGGACGTTATCAAGCACCAGCCATTTCCTTCTGCCTCGCGCATTGCACAGGATATTGACCGTCCCCGCTCTGGAGGGAGTCGTTGAGGCATCGATACTCCTCAGTTGGGGTCCATGCTACTTTTCCATCTATATAAACCTGGAGACGCTATTGCAGACGTGCTGAGCACATCCACTGTCGACGATCCACGCGTCACGGACCGTGAGGGCTTTTGTAGCCATCATTGAGGGATGTGGTCGAACAGGGCGAAGTTGCCTTCAACATCCTTACCAAACGCTCTATTCATCTTCTCCGGAGACCTTGATCGCCATGGACGTGGGCTTCTTTGAGCCATTTGGGCCAACCACATCGTCATCTTCATCAACAGTGGAGGGCCGTCTCTTCGACGGCCTGCGGGCTCCCGTATGCGAACTGCTTGGTCTTTCCTTGTGACTCCTTCCCTCCTTTGTCTGATCTTTCCGTTTTGGATTCTTGCGGAAGCATCCAGAGTCCACGCGATATGGTTTCCGACAGAAGGAGCAGTACGGGACGTTATCCATCTTGATTCGACATGTCGTCCCGTCCAGTGGCGGTATGAGTTCCTTGCTACCGGGCCCGCGGATGAGAGCGAGGGCAGGAAGCGTTTGCCCGTCAATGAGTTGTTTGCCGAACTACCCTTTCCGATGTTCTTCCTCAATAGCCTTGTTCAGGATCGGAGAATGCAGTTTGATCTTGATGAGGAGACTTGTGTCTAGTGGTATGCCGGGACCTGGCAATAGCAGACGCAGCAGCAGATGCCCGGCGTGTGCGCTCTTCCGGGGGTAGTTTTCTATACGCTACTCCGACAAGCTGAGCTCTTCCTCAGTCCAACTGTGTCCCTTGTAAGATCTATGTCTTCTTGTCATAAGCCAGAATGGCAGGGATTGGGAACAGTTATATATATATATTTATATGTGTTATCCCGCCCATGTAGAAAACTACTCCTTTAAATCAATAAGAATCAACCTTACCATCACTTCTCGTAACAGGCGGATTGGGGACCCCGAAACCCAGCCTGGGTAACACGTGGGCGGGTTCAGAAAATGTAAATCCAACCCAACCCGCGTGTCGGCGAGGTTCATAACCGACATACCAGCTACCCCTTCAAAACGCGCCTGGCTGTGCAACGCTTAGATAGAGAATACAACATACTTTTTACCTCTCTTTGCTTCCTGCTAGCAAAGCTGTTCCAACATGGGAGTATCGTCCGGCAGGCCCTGGGATTCCTCGATCGCTCCTTGTTGTTCCCATCAGACTGCGAATATTGCCATAATCCAGGATATGGTTGACTGTATCAGCAAGTGTCTTTGCACAATTTGCTGTGATTTAAGCAAATAACGCTGCGCAGAGTTGGGCTTCGCCTGTTGAGGATATCAAGCATAATGAGTATGCCGTGAAGGGACGATCGCCATTAATGAAACACGGATGAGATGAAGTCAGCTTTCAGGCGATCTGCAGCCTGCTGGACTTGACGTGAGACCTCCGCCATGGCGTTATTCCTGAACGCCGCAAGGTAAGCCAGGTTCTGTGACTTGGTGAAGACACGCCTGGAATCTTTTATCCAAGCGAAGCAACCCGCAAAACAGTGCGATCGTAGGGAATCCCAAAGCGAAAAGAAGGCAACGCTGTTCGATCGTGGGAAGACATTAGGGAGCTCTCCTTGGTCACTGTCCCCGAAGGTGGATTCAGCGTCGTCTGTGTGACTCTCGTCACAAAGCGGTATAAATTTGCCTTCGTTACTGTCGAATACACCTCCGCTTGTGTACAACAAGACCATATCCCTCAATTTATCATCGCCAACGACTGGGCATGCAAGCTCCCGGCCAGTTGAGCGTTCATCCTCAGCGGCATCTGAAGGACAGGACCTGGAGATAACCGGCGTAGCGGAGGAAACTCCATGGCGCTCCTGACTGAATGGGCTTATGTCCAGAAAGAGTACTCCCTCCACATTCAGCTCGCTTCAGATCAGACCACACGCTCGCTGAAGAACCCGACAAGTATCCTCCGGAATCCCTGATTCTTCCTACATCTTACGCGGGAGGTGACCGGGAGCGATAGGATCCCTTACGGTCGCGGAACGGCAAGCTCAGTTCGGTTTTTGGAAGATGAGGTGGAGGAATATTCAGCGTCTTCTTGCCGTTGGTGAGATGGATGGAGCAACGGAGTCTGAACTTGTGGATGATGACTTGAAGACTGTCAATTGCTTCTCAAGAGAACTGCGACTGTCACTAGGACTTGAGTTCCCTTCCGAAAAGGCGCCCAAAGCCTTGGACATTCTCTCGCTATCAAAAATTCGCGCACTGTTCGCTGTGTCGCCAAAAAACCCATCACGGTACCCGCCCTCTCTTGGAGGAGCCGTAGCTGTTCGTCTTCTGGCTTATCAAGGGAGGTATCGCCATATATTCCAATACATCTAATAACATACCTCGATGGGTCTCCGCCAAGACGTACTGAAACTCGCAATCGCACAAAGAGATCAAAGTCCTAGAAGCGCCAAGTTGCAATGCTGTCACCTGAGCCAGACTAGTCAGAATGTGCCATTGTGGAGTATCCTCTGGCGCAATGTTCCAGCGCGGGAGATGGCTTTGCAAGGCGAAGAGGTTAAATCTAAGCTGTCCGGTTTCGGGGTGAAGCTCAACTCATACGGCCGCATTTCCCTCTTACGCAAGTTCATTGCTTCGTCCGTACTGCCTTGAAAGCGAAGATTATCTGGAAAAGGCTTCCAAGAGGAGAATAAGAATGCCAAAAGCGATGACTCGTGTTCCTGTTACTGCAAATACAATCCGAGAAAGATGTTGGGCTCGCAAGACTCACCAGTGACTTTGGAACTTGGAAATGTGCCGAAACTGATTTGATCCAATTGCTATTTAACGTTGCTCGGTTACGAAACGCGGCACGTGTTGTGGCAAGAGTTTGACGAAACAAATATTGGCGGGAGCCACCACTTGGCATCTCCTCGATAAAATTGGCTCGTGATCCTCAACCCAGTCCTCGCTGTTGGAGCCAAACAATCTCAACTGGGCTAGGAGCACTGATATGAAGAATTTGATTACCGTGTCTTCCACCCAAGAGCCATTGCAGTCAACGCAAAGCATAGTTTAATCCCTGACAGTGGGTCTAACAACGGGAATTTCAGACAAGGGTGCTTTTTGCACTCCGTTATCTAGCCGCTGATAAGGTTAGAAGGTACGATTATACTGACTTAGCAATGTGGAATCTCAGTATAGGAACTTCAGTGAATCGAAAGTTGCCTCTGACTCGAGTCACGCCATGGCAATTAATTGGCTGTGCTGCCGGCTCCGCTATAGCTTTGGGGCCTCAGCCTCCGACTTACCAATGGTAACCTAGGTCCACATAACTATGTGCCCTGATCTGGTGGCCATCTGGAACAGTTACTTTGCACTGCAACCAGTCGTATATCGTGTTTTAGCTGGCATTGCCGCAGTGTTCCAGCTCCAATGCCTTTCAACGACGATCAGCCCTACGAGCCAAAGGCAGCCGGTCTCCATCTCCATATTAAAACGCCGGAGCAGGGACTTCCTTTTTACGTTACATGCCAGTAGCTTGCGGATAGAGGAAAGGACAAGTTGGCTGAAATTTATCCAGCTCCACCCCTCATTGTACTTTCTCTGTTTATACGACCTCTATAGACCAGCCATGCGGCGATTAATTCAGTATGTAGTCCACAGTCTCCCTCTGGGGCACGAGGCGACAATCGGGACCGAATCGCAAAACATCAACAGAAGCTGAAAACCTGGCTTTCACGTATCCAAGAGCCTTAGACATTTACTGATAGCCACGGGTGTTATGCCGGGAGCGGAGGCTGTCCAGAACAGATCTCGCTAGCATTCAGCTTTTATAAACGCACATTGTTCTTGCTTATCCTTGCCTCACCCGCCCCAAAAGCTGAAGACGATACAGGAATCAGACGCACTCATTCTTGCTTCAATAACGACAAAGCACTGGTAGGTCTTATCTGCAGTCTGCGCTTCCATCTAAACCTTGCCTGAATTTTCTGATGTGGAGTGGTTGTGAAATTTGGCAGCATGGTGGTATATTGTGCATCATATGATGCAAGTGTCAGTAATCGCACTGCTCCAGCTGCGCGTGGGCCCTATACGAGGCACCAAAAGGGGGAGACTACCGAAGGTGAAGGTGCGCGGGAACGGCAGAGGAACCTGAGAAGACCCTTCAAGTATCCAAGAAATGCTTCATTGGCTTTTTGCCATAGCCAACAGAAGCTACACTGCAGGGAAGGATTTCCAATTGTGCGAGCGTCTATGCACCACATTGTTGATGTTCAGGAATTAGACTGAGCGACTTACCAGCTTCTTCAGGCCTAGCCGCGCGAACTGTCGTGGTAGCCTCCAAAACTACTACATAAGGTCACCAAAAGCTTGCTATACCCGTCTACCACTGGTTAAATACGATGGCAGTCCGCCGCTAGATGATATTGATCGCTGAGAGCAGATTGTACTTATCCAGAGTCAACTATCGAGGAGCAAGAACCCGTAGGTTCCACCTTGGACCCTATGTTGCTTGAAGTATACGAAGTTCTAACTGGAGGTTCCCCCAACAAGTGGAGAATTTGTCTTTGGAAACAATTGGTAGTGATACAAGGTTGCTCAATCAATAAGGCTATGCTTATAGCCATCAGAGAAGGACAACTTACAGTACTCATTGCTGTCAAGCCAACCTCTTTCTTCAGACAGCTATTGCGAGAGCACAGTAGTATAAGTTTCCTGCAATAGTCACAACCTATATGTTCGAACTTGCGGAGGCTCTGCCTGGCAAGCTGCCAGCATAATATACTGTTGTGTCTAGGTCTAATTTGAAGATTCTGCCGTCAAGGATTAGAAATAGTGCCCATCCCAGTCGTTTCGCTAGTAAATGTATATCAAAATATTCTTTCCAGTTAAAGGCATATTGATTCGCAGCTAGCAATTGAAACGACTTTTGCTAGGTAGTTGCAGTATGTACTAAACCCTGCAAGTCCTTCAGGGGAAGGTAGCATGGCCGGTGAAAGGAGTTTTAGACTTGTCCACCAATCTGTCTGACAAGCTCAGGGATTCCATTCATTGACACCAAAAACAACAGCAGGGCAAGGAAAGAAAAATCCATCACTGACCGACCACCATGACAGGGCTATGCCGGGGGAAACAGGGTGTTCCCTCAAGTAGTTCTCGTTTTATGTTGACGCATACATAGTTGAATATATATACTCACTTGCAGCACCCCAGGGGATGTGGTAGAGCAGCTGGTAATTAGAAACACCACATCCCGTTGTTTTGATTAGCAATAAGCTGATAGCAGCGCTCCGAGTTTCTGCCTGTCGTAACCGCTTTTCCTAGCAACTAGCATGGGGATCCGTAATAACAATATATTAACAGAATAGAGCATTTCATAGCTTGATTATATATACGAGTACCCCTGCGCTGCAGTGATGTAGGCTAATGTAAGTGGTATAAGTAAGTACTATATCCTAGTCAAGTCATTAATTACCTGTTACGTAGAGATGCGGGAACGTGTGCCTCAACGTCACGAACCAGGCTGGAATAAGATGACCTATTTAGGAGCCGCTGGGAGATAGTGTGCGCTGCGTCCGGAGGATTTGGAAGTGCGCACCACAGGGGGTTATTTGGTTAGGGTAGGGAGGGCTGAGATCAGTTCACCCGAGGGTACCGGTGAGAGGCTAAGGAGTGAGTTGTGGCGGTGAGGCTCGGAGAAATTTATTGTACTGAGTAGTGAGTTTGTCGCATTAATGGTTATTGGGCTGTGTGACGCGTTAAAGTGGATGGGCTTGTCCAAGTAGAAGCTATCTAACGCATCTCACAAGCGGGCTGGCCATACAAATGGGCCGGCCGTCTCCGCTCCGATTCCAGACCGTAGACTAAAGATTAGGATCTTCATTAATAACTTTTTAGCGTTGTTTTGAGTGCTGCCCTCCGACTATCCGTTGCTTGTTTGCTTACCCTTCATGGGGCCTAAAACTAGAATTTGTTCCTTCAGGATGGAGGCCAAATTGCTAGTTTTGGGAGGACGGGGGAAGGAACGGGGAGTGAGGGAGATATATGAGTGTGCTATGGGCATTCGATTCTTTTGTTCAAAGCTAATCAGAAAAACAACCTCTTTGCTAGTATCTACCGTGCTGAACAAACACTCCTTCCCCTACCTAATTATCCATATTATCTATGTTTAAGGTCACTTGCTCAGAATAAACCTACCACGAATCCAACCATACGCACCATAACCAAGCAAGCATAAGAGAAAGAAAGCAAATGGGCCATCACCACCAAACCCTCTGCAAAGCAACAGTGGCCAAACACCCGCAATCAAAATGGACGACGCCTTCCTGCGCCGCCTTCCGCAAAGACTCTGACAAGGCCAACTCTACAGAAGCCTGCTGCGGAGTGACCACGAACATCACGGAATATGATACATGTTATGGCTTCTGCACCACGAATGGGAACCAATCGGTCGTGGTGTCATGCTTAGAGGATGCGGGATTAAAGGCTAAGGGGTATAATCAAAGTGATGCGTCGGGAGCGGGCACAACGATGGGGTTTCGGGGGGCAGTTTCGAAGGGGGCGTTGGGGGTCGCGATGTTGGCTTTTGTGGGGGTGGTGGTCGATTTAGCAGTCTGGTGATGATCGGGTATGGTAATGGTGGCGATACTTCGTTGGGGCGCCCGGTTGGCTGGTAGTAGACCTCGCCAAAACGCGGGCTGGGTTGGGCTCTTATTTCTGAGCCCGCCCATGGTTTACCCAGGTTGAGTTTCGGGGGTCGCTGTTGAAGTGAGAATGGATTGATTCTGATTAACTTAGCTGCTTGATTATCTTTTACAGGGGCGGGATGCCTCATATATACATCCATTTCCATCCCTGACGCAATCAGCTTCCATCACATTCTGGAAAACGCAAGGTAGCATACAACCTGGTCAGCCCCTACTAAGCGTGCCCTACTACGATGACGGTTAAAGGCAAAAGAAGTATTGGGGTTTTTCAAGTTTCGATGACCGGTGAAAACCCGTCGAAACGAACGGGCAGTTATGTCTCTCAACTTGACAAACCGTGGTTTCAGTAGAATACAAGGCTGCATGCCCACTTTTAGGAGTCGGTACTTTAATGGATAGTCCACCTGTTTTTGGTCTACCCATGGACACCTTCGCCCAAGATGTCGGCAGAGGACCTGGTTTGTGCGAGATCATTTGCTCACCCAATGATCAGACGGACAATCTTCGACGGCCTAATGTGCACTACCCGTCACCAAGTTGCATGGAAATGTCCACAAACTGAGTATTATGGCTCCCAGCCCCTTTGAATGAGGAAGCCTTGGAGGTTAATTAACGCCCCCGTGGAAAGCGCGTGCATCACTCGTTGGTGTGACCGAGATTGACATTTGACGGTGACGCTCGGACATGGGAGCTTCCATGGCGAGCTTTTTCTCCAAAAGCCCCGCCATCCGCAGGTGGTAGTAAATGCTCCCATAACTCCAAATACCCGTGTTTCTATGGGAGCGTGTCCTCCGAATAGTAGTAAATAAGAATGCGGTGACGACTGAATCGACCTGTCCACAGGGTTTTCGAGGAGAAGTTCTGCAGACGTAACGTAAATCTTCATACTAGAGAAGTTATTCAAAACCATGGCATTTCTCCCGTAGGGTTGAAGGTATCTGGCAGTCAACACACGGTGTTCATCATCAATGAGACCTGAGTTTTCCTAACTTTTGATGACCACATCTGGGTAATCATGACATCGAATACGCTGACATCATCAAAGCTGACTCGGGCATTAATCAATATGTAGGGCAGGCTAGGAAAGGGTAACAGAGAGAAGGTTCCCCGGTCAAGCTTGTCTATCGCTCTCATCAATTAATGATAATCCTTTCAAACACTCAACGGGATTTTGTCCCAGCGGGGCTTGCTTCGCACTCGCGCGGAGCTGTTCGACAGCCTTATCAGTCCCTGCCTGGATGTGCCTACTGAGGTATTTTCATGATTTACTCTCTTCTAACCCATTGCAACAGCCACTGTCTGCTGATCGAGCATTAGCTGATGAAACGATAGTAGCGCTTCTTAGACCCTCCTTGTAGGAGGTGTCATCGTTCGAACATAAACGTGCGCAAAACCCAAGAATTGATACTATGGTGGAATGTCGGTGGACAGCGTCTTTCACTGACACTGCGTATTAGTGTTCTCGCATCTGGCCCTGTGAAAGGTGCCATGAAAACGGAAACGACTGCGTTCCCTACGTTCGCCCGTTTCGATATTACTTGAACATATTTCCTACTAAGGTATATTCAGGTTCCACTCTCCTTAATATGAAGTGCAATTGTCACCGTTTGCTGAGAGCATATTAGCTGATGAAAGGATAACAGCGCAGAGTGAAACGAGCTTGTGAGAGTTGTCATCGTTGAAAAGTCAAGGTGCGCAGAATCACCAGAAACTGGGAGAGTATAATGAGAAGTCGGCGAAAAGCGCTTCTGACTAACGTAATTGGCTACTAGTGTTTTCGCATCTGGCCCTGTAAAGCGTGCCAAAAGACCGGAAGTGCGTGCGTTCCTCAGTCGGATTGACTGAAGATGCACCGTCGTACTACGACGTCTACCGAAACACGAACAGAGACGTCGCCAGTCCGCAGGATTTATCCAGACCAGCCTTCTAGTAACACCACAGCAACGTATGAGGCTCACGCCAGCGCATCCATGGAGGGACACCGATGGAGCGTGTCCGATATGGGCTGCGCTTCAGATGTCGCCATCCCAAGAGACAGTGGTGCTGAACGCGAATCACCCACTATGATCCCTGCAGACGTTACTTGTGGGGAGCGGAATGAGACTACAGATGATAGGAGCTGCACGCTCCCATCCCAAACTGCGAAAGTCCAGGCTGGTGACCCTGGTCTAGCGCGACTGCGCTCTCGAAGTCCTATTTGCCCGCAGACAACTTGGCTGGGGAGTCTATGGCATACCCATGGTACTCGATGCCGTGGGCCACTGATCCATATTCGCAGGGGACATTGCATGGATCGTTCTGGGATTGGACCTGGTCTCAATCCGAGTACCTGACCGGGTCCGAGACCGACGGTTTCTTACATCCGTCTATTCCTGCACAGCAGCCAGGCGGGTGGCCCTTTGGAGGCGACGCTGAAGAGCCACAGTACCCGAGCTGAAGCGGATGCCCTTCTGGGGAGACCACTCACAAGAGCTGTACCCTCCGGATCCCTCCTTTGATCAATCGGAGCCTATTCCCTTGTCCGTTGCACTCGGGCTCTTTTCTATCCTAGAGACTGTGCCACCGAGAGTTTCAAGACTCCCTTGTGTGCAGCATGGCGAGGAAGCCAGCTTGGCGCTCCCGACTCAGTCTCCAATGCTATTGCCTCCCCGGGATCCATTGGCGCCTGTTTCCGCAGCACTGCCCATGATAGACTTCCACCGCCGCACCGCAGCTTGCATCAAGAAGCGCGTGCGCCCGCTTCCGTTCGAAATTGCGAGTCGCTATTACCCCCGTGGCTACTACAGACTATGACGGATTACCAGGAAACTGAAATGAGGCCGTTCGATAATGTCGGTGCCAATAGCCAGAAGTTATCACGTAATGTCACAGTGCCGGAAGGCCAGGCCGAGCAACGTCACTCGACCTAGGCGTACGACTTCAATGCTCACTAGAAACAGGGGCTGTTCGTGGTGTAGGGGTGTCGGTTTTGCATGTCTCAATATGTTTGCAATGTTCGCACAATGTTATTGACGATAAAAGATTGATGCTCTTCTGTACGGCAATCTACATACGGTGCCCAAGGTCATACTGTACTGTCTGCTACTGTTTTAAGCTAATGAATAGAATAGCAATGAATGACTCGCAGACGTTTGCTTCATGTTTACTTGCCACATATATAAAACCACCCCTTCACATATGGCAGGTTTAATGAGGGCAGGTTCAAAGTGTACATTGCACACAACTCCGTATAACTATTGCCAACCACTACACTCGCTACCGGTCAAACAGAATGACTGAAGCAGCTCTTGGAATATCCAGAACGAGCAACCCGTTTAGAAGGACATACAAAGACGTGCGAATCTCTACACTATACCCCCGCAGTTATATGCTGCAGGTGCCAGATACGACCCGATCCGAGACGGTACCGAATAAGCCTGTACGAAGCACTGAGAGCATTGCTGTAAGAATCCAAAGCAATATTGACTCCCAGGCGGAAGATGTGGCAGTTACCTGGAGAAATGTTCTTGCTAAATCCAGAATGTAGCTTGATCCGCGGGATTGGACTTCGAGTTTCTATGTTGAAGACCGCACAATCTAATGACTTACATTGACAAGCTTTATAAACGATGTAGGCCCATTCCTCGCCATTTCGAGAGAGTTCCCGAGACACTGCTGTTAGTCAGTCTCACTGCACCGCAATTTATTGTATGCCTCAGAAATCGTAAGAGTATACCTGTTTGTCACTCACTTTCACTTTATTTCGTATTTTACGCTAAGGCAGCCCGTAGACAAGACATCAATTCTCTGCGTCCCGACTGTGATTATTACCATCTAGCCATCCAGCGAACTTCGTTGGCGGTAGGAAACATGGCCAACACACGTTCAGGAAAAGCAAGCTTCAAAACCCACTGGTGTCGACAAAAATATCAATGCTCGAAAGACTCGTGAAAAAGATGAAACGGCTGCCTAGAAAAGGAGAGTTGAAGACAAGCGAAAACAGCGCCAGAAAACTTTGAATAACGCACACCATTATTGACACGGGCGTGCACTGCCCCTGGTTAAAGAGGGCCCTCTTACAGTCCAAAAGCGAGGCAACAAATAGATGGATTAGTGTATTCGCAGTGATCGGGGTTGGAACACTACGGCAAACTACTCTGACTGAAAAGAGGGTACGGAGAGCCAAACGTACGATCTAACGGGGTGTGGCATATTCTCAACAATTTATTATTTAGTTCAGCTGTTTATGCATACCGTACTTGTAGCTGGTAAGAATACGTGACTGATTCCGACGTCTCAGTGAAGTGCTGTCTGAAGGCAGGAAATATACCGTGACTGGTTCAACCTTGATAACTAGACAGAAGGAGTCGGATCGCTCAAACAGGAGGCGATTGAGATCAGCAGCCGGCACGTTTTCTGAAAGCAGCCGATCTGGAAGCTTGTGTAAAGCGGACGCGCTAGGCTGAATGCACTGAGCGGAATGGAAATAACGAACAGCATGTCTATCCAGTGACGCTCTAGCTGACTGCCTTTGATTGCCGATCGTTTTCCCCGAAAGTATTACAGGAACCCAAGAACTTCCTGATGACTTGGTCTGTCTTAGAGTGTTGGTCCCATCTAGACAAAGTGATGTTGATTTAAGATTTCACCCAAGTCCAATCCCTTAGCAAGACGGCCAGAAAGTGCGTGGATTGACGCGGTCCCCTTCCAGGTGGGGTAAGGGGTTCGGTCTTGTTGGTTTTGGATTCAGATATTGGCAACTGACACCGGGCCGGCGGGGTTCAAGGTAAATTGAACGATAGAAGGCATTCAACTTGAGGTTTACATTGAGGTAACCGTAGTCGTAAGGGCTTTTGCATGAACAAAAGGAGAGGAAAGACTTGCAGACTCACAGTCTAAACTTCTCACAACCTAGCGCGCGAGATGGACGCCGTAAACTCCGCATCATGCGATCCCGCCGTAATTACGACCCACTTACGGGAGCTCAGCAGCTAAGCAAATACTATTATTGAAGCCTTTAAGTACGTAAGGTTGCGACTTGGTCACAAAACGTACGAGTCCTTGGAGGCCTCAAGCTTTGACCTTCATAGCATGTTAGGTCGGACATGACTAGGACAGATGAGCTGAAAAAGCTCGTCATCTTCATTAGGAACGTGCAGCTATTCTTCAAACCGCCAGAGGAGTCGGAACTTGTCTTTCCGCCAATCCGGAAAAGGAAGCAAGTCAACCCGTGAACGTTGTGAGATAATTCGCAGACTATCTCCAAACCAAACAATAAATTGGGCAGCAGCCTTCCCATCCAGTGCTTGGGATTCGAACGTGGTGTCCAAAACTCTCTTCGATTTTGTAGTCGAGTTTCTAGATCCTGGCGCAATTGCGATATCCTACCGGCTTATACGATATCTTAATTACACTAGCTGCCGAGCAGCCACTTCAATGTTCAACGGAATTTAGATCGTTCTTGGCCAGTATGTACGCATCCAAGATACTACAAGCAAGAAGACTAAACGATGGTAGATCTACATGAAAATATGGAGACTGATCACTCATATCCGCAGGCAGAGCCAGGGCAATCTGAAGTTACTGGTGTGAGCAGTTAGTAGCTTGAGATCCTTTTAAGAGATGTTGGTCGCCTCTGACGCAAACGTGTTTTGCCCCAACAGTTCGTTCTGAACAATGAACGCATTAACTGTGATTAGTCCGCGCGATACCTTTGCATATATAATGACGCCATTTCCAATACAAACCGGCGATTGGTCGTATTGCCAGCGCCGGCTGCTTCGTTACATCGTCCAGGTGGCGCCCAGCTTGCTAAACTCGTACTCTTCTTTCGCAATGTACCAGTCAACGACTCATGTCCGTCTCTTTTCCGGCCAAACCTCCTGCAACCACATCGAATCGGAAATACCAAACAAAAATCTTGCTGTGGAGCTCGTTCATATCGGCAGATTTCGGCGTTAGGATCTCCCACACTAATGCTTGTGCAGCCTGATGGTGCACATGAGGTTGACCCAGTTACCGATAGATTCCTGGCGAGTCAGTATGGCTCGGAAGCAAGACAGAGCATAGTCGCTGCTGGGTATTTCATACCTCGAAAGTGGCGAGGACAAGCACTGTGATCAGCGTCGCCTCATTATGTAATTCACCCGAGCTCAGGGACTTGCGCAGGAGCTTCAACGCGATGTTGTAGTATTTCAGGAAGCTGTAAAGTTTTCCGCTATTGTTTTGAACGCAATGGTGATATGCCGAGAAGCCCACCACAGCATACAACAGAGAACCATGTTGCAACGCCAGTTCAATGATGCTTTCATGGATCAACCGGTCATTGACCGGTTTTAGGAAATAATGGTGGTACGAGATGGGACTCTTGATGATACTTGAGATAGAATTGCAGATCGTCGGCCAAATGTGCCATATTGGGCAAAGTAGATCCATATGGTCTAGGCAGGGACACGTCGATACTGGCCGACCGAGCGCTTAATGAGTTGAACCTAAATAACGTAATTGTGGACGCGGACGGCGAAGTGCTATTCTCAATCCGCGCCGGTTCCGAGTCGGTCGCAACAGGTTTCCCTCCGCGCTGCTTCAAAGACTGACAATTTTGTCTTCTGGCGAGATTGGTTATGGACCATGTGGTTGGCGTAGGCGCAGCTGACGGGGACAGACGGGTACTCGACCTGACACTAGTTCCATCTCCCTCGTCGGCGATGGGCTCCAAGGCCCGGGTGTCTTCGGATCCTGGGTGGCTGGAAGAGCCATTTCCACGCAATAGTGAACCTCTGGGCTTAGACTCGGTACGGGTCCCGGACTTGGATACGCCTGAGGTGGCTGATGGATAGACACAGTAACGGTTGCCCTTACGACACCTGTCACAGATGGGAAGTGCTTCGTCGCACTTAACCCAACGGGATCGGCAGGTGAGACAGCCACTTCAGGTGCGCTTGGGCTTTTTCTGATCGGAGGTAGGTTGTAGGAGCGACCGGAGCATCGGGGGCACGGACGGATAGGAGGTGGCGACGGCGGTGGGAGGAAGTGGCGGCTGGGGTTGCGCGGGCGGATTGTGCCAGAATGAGACATTTCGCGGATACTTTCCGGGCCCCATACTGGGGTAGGCGGAGACTGAAGTGTCCTGATCCTGCAGCGACGGGAATGAGGGAGAAGAACTGGTCAGGGCGGCCGGGAAACTGGAGTATAGAGGTGCCAAGGTGTAATTCGCATCGAAGATTCCAAGCGGGGGTCGAGATGGCCGCATCGACTACAGTCACTCAGCACCGGATCAATGCGGACCATTGGTCGGGAGAACCCGATCCGCACAACCGGCATGCACTCAGAGAATGGAAATTAAGGAGGAAGAGGCAGAGAATGTTGAGTCAGAAGAAGCGCTGATAGAGCTGGAAGGTAACAGACACTGGGGGGACTGCAGGACAAGGGTGTGGAAGGGAGGGGGGAAAGGAAGGAAGGAACGAGAAGCTACTAATCATCTAAAAAAGAAAGGAACAAAGAAAGAAGGTGCCCAGCAGTTGAAGAAGGGGAAAAAAAAGTGAGGTAGGAAGAAGTAAAGAGGGAAATGGGAGAAGAGTGAAAGAGTAGGAGAGGGGGGAGTAGGATTGGATAGGGGGGGCTGACCGGAAGAGGCATTAAGCAACCCAAGCAATCAATGAACGGCACCACAACTTTAATCATCATCTCCCAACCCCTCTCCTCCTCTACTTTAAATTCTCTAGTGTTCTCTAGGTGACCCGCCAGCGCCAGAATGCTGCGGTTCTCACCTTGATTCTGTCCCATTCGTCTGTCCGGCTTTGATCACACCCGCCTAGTCCGGAGTCAAGCCTCCCTAGTGGCCTGGCAATCGAAGTATCAAACCTGAACCTCCTCCTGCTGCTGCTGCTGCTCCAGTGGGAAACAATGGATCGCGGTGATCGTCCTTCCTCTCACACGACCGGTCCACGTACTATCTATGGCTCTTGCAATCTGTTCTCTCCCACTGTCTACTCCGGTTGACCCCGGTGTTTTCTTAGTATGGTGGAGAGATGCAGGGATTCGAATCCTTGAAGCGGTGAGTATCTCATCCAACACCGCCTGCTTGATATAGCCACGCGTTGGAGTTGAAGCCCACAAACGCGTAAGATTTGATGAATTCTACTAACTCTTGGTGTTTTTCAAAAGATGCCTTCTACCCCTGAACCTACCTCCCCAAAATCAACAAAATCAGAGCGCCTTGATCGCGATGACCGTATCCGTATTCTTACTCATCGTGATGCTGGCTTTACCTATGAACAAATAGTTGACCAGCTACAGATTAGCTATCGTCAAGTTCAATATACGTGTCAAAATCAGCAAGCTACACCCCGAAAGCAAGAAGCAGTGCACCAAAGCTCTCAGATAAAGAAGTTGATCAAATTATACAATGGATATCAAGTTCAAAACGTACACGCCGTTTACTATTCTATCGTGTTATTGAAGAGCTTCAACTTCCTGTTGGACCAACAGCTTTAACGCGTGCTTTAGAAAAGCGATGTTATACACGCTGTAAAGCACTTCGAAAACCACCATTTTCACCAGCTAATAAACGAGCAAGGTTAGCCTGGGCTCTTGAACATCTCGAATACTCTGAACTGATGAAACCTGGGTAACTTCAGGCTTTCATAAACACACATACGTGGACTCACAAAGGTGGTGAAGAGCTTGATGAAACCTGTCTTCGTACATATCCACCACGTAAGCGTGGCTGGATGTTCTGGGCATCTTTTTACAGCAAATTTAAAGGACCATGTCTCTTTTGCGAGAAAGAATGGGGATCTATCAACACTGAAAGCTATACTGAACGGATTATTTCTATTATTGATGGTTTTATACGCTTGGTTGAGCGGAACGAACAACAACGACTTCAGTTAATGCAAGATAATGCTCCTGGTCATGCAAGTAAGACCACTATTCAAAGGTTTAATAAGCGTGGGATCTTTTCAATTGTATGGCCAGCTTTGTCGCCAGATCTTAATCCAATCGAAGCTGTCTGGAACTGGACGAAAGATGGATTGAACAATACCTCCCTAATGATGAGCAGTTGTCATATGATGTACTACGTGAGATTGTACGGGCTGCTTGGGATGCGTTACCAGAGACATTTTTAGATAAATTAGTTGATAGTATGCAGGCAAGGTGCCAAGCGGTGACTTAGTGCTGAAGGTGGCCATACAAAGAATAATCTTATAAACAGCAATAATGAAAGGAGTCGAATCCCTGCACCTCTCCACCATACTAACGAAACCACGGGTGTCAATCGAAGTAAACTAAAATACGAATCCGCACCTAACCTAGTGGGCTATGGTTCAAGATCCAATTATTTTCATGGCGGCGAGGGGTCCAGGGTAAATGAAATCAACCAACTAGCCGTGTATTACGATCAAACATTTCTAAACAGTATGCCGTTTCCAACCCGACATATATAAACAGGGTAATATTATTGGCTTTTCCGCGACGCTGACTCAAGGGTCAGTCTTAGGTTTGAGGGTTGAAGCAAAGGGATGCCTTGTTCACGGCCACCTTTCGAGTTAATTTAGCATAGTGCAAGCCGCAGGCATTACACAAAGTACGGGCGCCATCAGGCCCACGGCACCATTCCGGTGTTTTGGTTCGGCCACAACCGTGGCAATGACTGGTAGTGGCAGCGTCCTGCAGGAGCGCCGCTGTTAGCGATGGCAAAGTATGTGGCGACGGGTAATCCCATGGTAAACGAAAATCAGTAGGCAAGGGGGGAATAATAATAATATAAGGTAAGAAGTTTCCATAGTAGATGTACTCTTTGCTCTCTCAAATCCGCGCTAGCAAATCCCCTACTGCCCTTGTATCGCTCCTGGTATATTGCCATGTGGATATCATCATATGCCCCACCTGTTTTAAAAGCATTCTTCCGTGCCATCTGCTCGGTAAAAGCATGCTTTTTTAAAAGTGCTCTTTGTAAACGAAGTAAAGTGTCTTGGTTACAACACTGTAAGTTAAACACCTTCTCAATCTCACATATCGTGGGCAGATGACCCAATACAGGGCCAGGATGCTGATCTTGGTGTGTTCTTGTTATATAATGCCTTGAAAAATCCAAGACCCTAGTGCTTATCGCGGTAATCTGGTAATTTTAGTGATACCACGCTTCATATCTCAGGACCAACTAGAGCCCTGATTATGGTTTATCTGGTGCCAAAAGTAGATAATAACGTACCTCATGCAGAAATGTCTCAACTTCATTGATATCTAGGTGACATTCGATGGAATCGCTTTGTGGTTGCCCTACAACAGTAGGACGGGCTGCAAGATTTGTTTTTATATTGTCCATACCGGGTTTCCATAACGCTCCCGCATAGGGTCTAGCATCATAGGAAGCTGAGGGATAGTCTGGCCTATTTATTTGTAGATACGACTGAAAGGAGAATGGTTGCGAGAACGCACTATAATCATTAGATAAAGCCAGACTGCCGGTAGGAGGCGTGCTAGGCACGCTATACTCATAGACAGAATCAACCTGGCATCCAGAAATTGAAGTAATGCCTGTCTTCGTACTCTGAGTAGGCGCTTTCCCGAAATTATGTGATTGTAACGACGCGTTTCTCGCGTGTTGAGTGTTGATTGATGCTGACTTAGACCTTGTTACCTCTACTTATAACTGCGGCTGAGGACGATAACCGAATTCTTGCATGAGAGGACCAGTTGATATACTTGAGAAAAAATTCAGTGGGTCTGAAAGCCCCTCAGTGCCTAATCACCCGATAATGTTCAAAGGTAGAGCATAAGGCAGTGCATGATGAACTTGTTACAGAGGGACTAGAGTCGGCGCAGGGTAAGATAAATCATTGTCATTTTCTAGAGTCTCATGGATTGACGGAAGTGTTTGTCTTTGATGCTGTCGTTGCCGTTTGTCCTTTTTAAGTATGCGTCGCGAAGCTGGAGATGATATACCTCCGGACTGTAAATGATCTGAGCCTGTCAATGCAGAGTAGGAAAGAGGCAAGGATTGATTGGAATACATGGTTGGGCTCAGAAGTGATGTTGGAGAAGATGTAGGTGCTGTTGATATAGCAGGGTGCTTCAGAGCGCAGCTAGGTCTGTCTTTACAAAGAATTCCCACTATTGGCAGATGTTCCCTAAGAAGCGCACAAAAATAATCAGCACATTTGCTGTAGGTGGAGTACCCACATGTTACGCAACATACCAAAGTTTGTAAAACCCAAAGCTTTGGTCGGTCATTGGGGTTTCTTAGTAATAACATAACTCTGTCATAGATAACTAACGTTAACCAACCATCGGACGGGCCACCCGGTAATACCATACGAAAGATGTGTTTCCGAGCTAAGATACCTCAGCTATTGAGAGTTATATGTGCCTAATATGTAACGTGTTACGATTATACTTGAGTTGTTCAACTTCCGACGAAGGGGGCCCTGAATGGGCTTCGAGCTTTAATTAATGCCATGAATCCTTCATAGCCCAATTTGCTAGACGATACAACTACTGAATGGCTTAATGGAAGATCTTGAATTAATAGAAGACTGGTTCAATCGGGCTCTTGAATTATTACGGAGTACGGGGTCTCATCAGAGGATATCGATTAATTTATCTAACAGGCTTTGCAATAGGCATGTTCCACGCTCCTAAAGTCATGACGAAATGAGAGAGGTCAGGTCGGCCGCCTTTGTCTCAACCAGATAATCGGGAACAGGTCACTTCAATTAACTATAAAATGGAGAGCCGCTACCTCCGGCTCTAATCATAGTAACAAAACACATCTTCGGGCTTTGGAACGAAGGTCAATCCATTCCACCTGAGTTCGACCAAACCTGTACTAAATATCGGGTTATTCTTATCTACATACCTGCTCATCCATCCATCTCATCTGCTTCAAGCTCTTCATGTCAGCTATTTTACATGCGTAAACATGCGTACAGTGGATTGATTCAAGAGCAAGCATGCTATGACACAAATCATATTAACAAACTGGACTTCTTAGATAGCTATCATAAAGTTCATCGGCAGGCTTTAACAAAGTCAAATATTGCCACTAAATCTAAAGCAGCAGGATTAGTCCCCGCAAATCCCGAGCAAGTGCTTCAACAACCGAATGCAGATCTTATAGTACCGCCTACTCTAGACAACCGGTCAAATGGTTCAGTGCTTCAAACACCACATGATATACAACAACTTTTGAAATATGAAAATTCTACTAAGTGACTACTTCGAAAGGGTTGAGTCTAGTCTTACCTACTAAATCTACGATACAACGGTCTTTAAAGTCTGCGAGCTTGCAATAACAGACAGAATTATTATATAGCTAAATAGGATGATGCATTACAGGCTAACCATGAGAAATAACTTCGAAGAGAAAGCACCCAAAGAAGCAGATAGCTTACAAGGAACATACTGACAGTTGAGAAAGTCCAGAAGGTTATACAGCAAGAAAAGAAGGTCCAGAATGATCAGTATACTGAGGCTGAAGTGGTTCCTCAATTCATTGAGTGGATACGGGATGCTGACGCATCTAACCAGGAAATCACTGACGCGGTCCGTAAGAAATATGGGAAACTCTTTAATGTAGAACCCAGAAAATCAGAAGGGGAACGACATTTAATCGGTCGAATCACTAATGCGTCATCTAACGAAACCGGGAATTACGTAACTATATAAAACCCCCAATAAGTCAAACCTACAAAATTTCCACGGTTATCGATATCGTGGATTTCCTCAAGGCAACCTGGACATCTGCACTGGAGAAATCACTGGACGTAGGTGACACTGAGTACATTAATCTCTTCCGCTCTGACGCATAACTAACACATAGCATTCCGTTGTTACAACTATGTCTATAGAACATGACAGTCTGGTCCAGCTTATCTGGACAGCGGACAGCAAAGTGCAATTAGATTGAACGGGGAAATTTCGCTAGGTACAGAATGTGTGGATTGTGTAAAACCATTGTTCTCTCCCGTCCCGTAGTCTTCGCATAAGTTCTTTACGTACCTTAGGATTATCTAATCACAGAAGTCATTGCCACGACTACTTGACCAAGCGCGACAAAATCATTTATGATGTCAACAGATACCGCTGATTAACGCGTTCTGAGAGAGGTGATCCTCCACTTTCATGGCCGAGAAAAAGGGTGTCTTTGGATCGCCTGCACTATTACGGTATTTCAACGGGAGTAAATGTCAACGGTAAGCTTATCAGCCATCTGGTGAAAGTATTTACAAGCTGAGGGATGTTCCCGCCTCTGCGATCCAAAGTTTCAAACCATTACGCTACAGTGATCATTTCCCCCGAAGACCTTTGATGGAGCCCTTGCCTACTCCAACGTACTAGTCCTGGACTTAATGCAAGGCAGAGTATCGTATTTACTCGACATCCGAGAAGGTACTCGTATTCGTGCTCCGCTTGGCGAGCACCGACTGCTAGGTACAGAGAAATTTCTTGAGCCCACCGTGCGATGGTGGACAGTGGTTCTCTACACTACTTGTACATAATACCTATATAACTATCAGGCTCTGTAGCCTCGCGGCTGATGATTTTTCTAGGACTGTCAAAAGTACCCCAACAGACTACGTGAAAGACGCTTATGTATTCTTCGCGGCCTTGCTGCCATGGTGGATGTCGGTCTCGTCCTGCGCTGCCAGGCAATAATAAGGGAGCCAAGCCTATAAAGGCGCGAGACATATGTGTGGATTTTCCTTCCATATCTCTTATAGCCAACCGGTCGGCTGAGTCGCGTGGGGACAGTGACGGCATTCCAAAAAGTTTGCGAAGAAACGAGATGGAAGGCAGACCACCAAGATAGGCATCGATGAAATACAAGGGGTGCTCTCTGGTTTCGGCTAACACGGCACAGGGAGTGGAGATCAGGAATGAAGTGGTCGATTCCGAACGCCGGCACACGGTGCACCAGATCATGATCACTTACCCAATCATGGTACTGGCGTGATCACCAAGAGTGAGCATCTAGTCATCACGTTTGATTAGGTTCATAGTGATCAACGAACAACATCCCATACTCATCTAGCTACCTTCCATGGTAGCGGCCCCCTTCCGATCAGGGCTATTGTGGCCACAAGCGATGGATGCTACACAACCCATAGAGATCAAGGAATGGTCTTGATTCGGTTATCCCAGGAAAGGCAGCTTATTTTTCAACAGCAAAGGCCGAGCAGAACGCAAACCGAGGCTCATGGGGTCAGGCTGTGGGGCTCGGAAGACATAACCTGGTCACTCTGGCCTTAGGCAGTGACTGGACGGCTTTCCGGATTTGGGTGCGGAGATCTCCCGGAGCCAAGCGGCCGAGCCCCCGAAACGCTCAGCAGCATGTATTGGGCGCCCGACCCCATATACGCGTCTGCTCAGCGTTTCGAGAACCTTCTCAGACCACTCATCTGCCTCACAAATGCGGCTGAAGGTCAACTCATGAATAACAAACAGTGCGTATCGTAATTGGACCACGAACGGCCGGGAAAACGAGCCGCCGGCGACTCTCTCGGCTTCAAACCTCCACAACACGCAATATTCGATATTGCTTAATTCATTCAAAATTGGAGCTATCCAGACGTATGGAGGTCTTTCTAGAGATAGGAGACTAGCGCTTGCCTGTGAGGCCTTTAATCGAGGCCAATTTCCCTCTAAGCAGGCGTGCGCTGCGGCATTTGATGTCAAGATAAGCATTCTAAAGGGACGGTTGAAAGGAGTCAAACCTCGCGCTGGAACAGAGGCAAGCTTGGGAAAGCTATCTATCAATGATCAGTTGGTGTTGAAGCGCAGGATACTCGAATTAGTTTCACGAGGCTATCCGCTTACAATCGCGAAAGTACGATATCTTGCAGAGATCCTTCTGTCATCAAAACTGAAGTAAAAAAACCCAAAGACGCGTTTATTAGTGATCGCTGGGTCAATCGATTCATTCAACGTCACCAGGCTGAATTGAAGTCAAAGTATACTCAATCTTTTGATTATCAACGTGCAAAATGCGAGGATCCCAAGATCGTAAACCGGTGGTTTGTATTAGTAAAGAATACTATACAAAAGTATGGATTCTTGAACACAATACTTATAACATGGATGAGACGGGGTTTTAATGGGAATCGCTTCAACTGCGAAGGTTGTCTGTGGTACTGAATCCCGTGAAAACGAATGCAAGATTTTTAAAACCTGGAAATCGTGAATGGGTCACTTCTATCGTCACAATCAGTGCTGCAGGGGTCGATCTACCTCACAGATTATCTTTGCAGGCAAGATGCAGCAGGAGAAGCGGTTTGAAGCTGTTTCCGATGACTGGCGGATCAGTGTTAGCGATAACGGATGGACGAATAATAGCCTCGCATTTGACTGGCTTCAATATTTTGATGCATACACAGCCTCAAAGACGGTAGGCCGATATCGCCTCCTTATCCTTGACGGCCACGGAAGTCATTCAACTGTTGAATTTGATCAATTATGTAAAGAAAGATTGATCATTCCTTTACACATGCCGCCTCATTCATCCCATAAACTTCAACCGCTTGATGTCGTTTGCTTTGTACCGCTAAAGACTCTGTACGGCCCTCGAATCAAAGATGCAGCTGATAAAACATCCTCCATATACAAAAAGAAGATTTTTCGTATCATTTCAAAATGATACACTTCAAAGCATTCAATACAGCAAATATAAAGCAAGGCTTTGCTGCAACAGGTCTTTCTCCATACAATCCTGAAAGAGTGCTTCAAAACCTCAAGATTCCAGAGTCAAACACCTCCGCCTTCAACTTCGTCATCTAATCAATCTATGTATCTCGAAAAAACGCCCTTGACTCTTTATCAACCTAATCATAAAGAAGCTGAGATTGAATCACTGCAGGGAGCGGAATTATCATCACTTATTGCGGGTCAAGCACTTGAAAAGGTGTATAAAGATGCAGAAATGGCCATGCAGAATGCTGTACTGCTTCAGCAGGAGTTGGATCAACTCCGGTGCAGTGAATCAATATAAAAAGAACAAGAAAGAGAATGCAAAACGCTTTCTACAAGAAGGAGGCATTTTAGATAGCCATACTGCAGGTCATATTACTCAAGAAAAGGATGCTGAAGCTATAGAGAAACAGGCTACTCCAAGCACTCAACGCCGGCCACCCCGCTGCAGTAATTGCAATAAAGAAGGCCATAATCGCCTCAGATGCCCCGATAGAGCCAACTCCTAGTTTCGTCTTGTATATTATCATCTGTATAGTGTTGAATTGCTTCATTTTGAATCGATCGTTGCATCTTGGTGGGCGGAGCGGCCAACCGCCGGCGGCTCGTTGTCCCGGCGGTTCGTTGTCCGATTACGTTAGTTAAACAATACGTTATAACGTAATCGGACAACGAACCGGCGCAACAACGAGCCGCCGCTCTCCTACTAAAAATGCAACAACCGATTCAATCTAAAGTAATTCAGTACTATATAGATGAATATATATAAATAAACTAAATATTGATTTTTATCTATATATATTTAAACTAATTATAATCTTTGTTATTGTAATTCTTATAGTATAATAGCTAGTATTAAGTATTTTCTAGTATCTATGTATCTCAATATCAAATACTGCAGTATACATCTTTTTCGTGGCGAATTAACCGCAATTAAAGGCTTTACAGATAAGTCATAGTATTCTACAATAAAACACTCTTTATATGTTTGAATAGCTTCATCTTTACGAGCGTATGGGGCTTTGTCACATGCTCTGTAGGATTGGCCGGCGCCTGCCGACGTTTTCCAACCATTTTTTCCAGGTTGACCTCGGATCAGGTAGGGAATCCGAGATCCCGGAAAAAGAGGTCAGCTTCTCAGGATTTCACAGTTCCAGAGAGCTGTGAGTTAGTCCTTAGGAGTTGTCACCGTTATGTGCGCGGCAAAGGCCTACTGCTAGCGCGACGCTTACCTGCGTCTTTTCGAGATTTGCGGTCGTGACTTTAGCGTACTAGTGCTAGATATTCATAGTGGCTGGGAATGGCCACTGCTATCCGTTTCTAGTGCTCGAGCTTAAAGATGCATTTCATTCCTGCGTTCAGTAGGTCTCGAATTTACTAGTGATAATACCAGAGTATTCACGTGCCTAGTCAGTGTTACAGGACGATTGATGCCATTCAATTGGACTCAAGACGCTACCTCCGGATTATCATGGCAGTATTCACGTACGGAAGTGGGCAGTCTCGAAAGTACCAAATGGTACTCAGTAACATACAAAGATTCGCTAGAAGCCGCTCGCACGAAGAACCGTCAAGATAGCAGCGGTCTCCATAATAGCGTGCAGTGATAAAATATGCGAAATGTTCGACTGTACGCAGCATGTCATGCTTACGAGCGGACATCTGGTTACATACAGCCATTTATGTTTTACAGTGAGCATCGCCGCAATTTCTCTCAGAGATTCCCCTAGTAGCGGCGGCGTGTATCCTGTGGATAAGTCCAGGGCAGTCGGTTTCAAGCTACTGCATACATCACAGTGCATTGCACTACATGTTGACAGGCCATGTAGCTTTATCACTTGGCGGTGAGTGTGTCAACGTGGACAACCTCCGTTTCAACAGACGGTAATCATCGAACGATTCTGAATACTCTTTCAAAGCATAACGCGACCTCCCATCTAAAGGAGCATCATCCATACCCGACAGCTTGGCTCGGGCGTGGTGACAACCTGGAAGGCATAACACAGTCTGCTTTTTCGCGCTGTCTCCAGAGTCACAATCTCGGTCAGCGTGGTAAGCCCGACGCACGTCTGCTTCGGCGTGATTCGGTGCAGGGTGAACTCTCGAGGCATTGGGATCCGAGATGTAAGTGGCGTTTTTGCAAAGAGTAGAGCTCGCGGCAAGGGAAAGGGAGTGTGGTTCTTGCCCGCTGCCAATTAGGCCCAGCGACGTTCCAAGAGACCGAGGCATTTCGATTGATGGTGAAAATAAGGCAATGGAAGGATGCACATTGGAATTTGTTGCTCGCTACCTTGCTTCCTTCAAATACTTCTGCCGTGTAGGACCTGAGGGCCATTCGACGAGACTAGATCCTGATATGTACCAGCGGCCAGGTAGGGCGGGGCCCAGATCCGCAGGCGTGGAAAGGCCGAGAATAGTTCTAGCTGACATCACGAGTTTGTTAGTAATATGACATATAGACCGGCGACCAGTTGGAACGGTTGTTCATCACTGACCAGACAGTAGCTGGCCTCATAGAGGAAGGAGAGGATCTCATGTTGTTCACCGGCAGGTCTATATATCCATCAACCGAACCACGAACTTTCGCGGCGAACCGGGACTATTGCAGCCGATAGCATATTCGAAGAAGTGGCCAGGAGAGAGATTCTGTGGGGACTAGAGTAGTACGTGGATACGGGCCGCTGATTGGCTGGGAAATTCTAGCAGCCGGTTCGCGTCTCTGTGGACGAGGAATGTCACCCCATGGGTTACAGCTCGTCTCTGGACGCAACGGCTCCGTCGGTTCTGGTAGCGCCCGGCTGTCCCGGGCGGCTTAACTACTGCAACTCACCCATGCGCACCATGTTGCGGGCTCTCCGCAACCGGGAAGCTCCGCCAAATAGATCCTGCTTAAAGAATGGATCTGATCAGGGTGACTATTATATTCACGCGTGCGGACTAGCCCGTGTTCTGAGTGGATGCAGTACAATATGGTATGTGGAGTTCCTTGTCAGTTATGTCGATCCAGTGCTAGAAGGTCGCCAAAGTATCGGTGGAACAAACACCGCTCGAAATGGCCCTGCTACGGGAATTTTACAATTGATTCGAAGCGATTATGAAAACTTACCCTCGTATGGGAGATAGTGTGCTGGTCTTCGAGCTGCTGCCACACACAAAAGTTGCTTAGGTACCCATTGGAGATACCGCACGTGCCAATCGAGGGCCTTATTACAACTTTCGTATGATATTAGGTTGGCAGACATGATTCCGTCGTGGATCCAAATCCGTCGTGGATCCAAAAGTGCGCGCTCTTTAAGGAGGAGGCGTAACAGGGCCTTGCTGACGATCGTGTCGCGGCATATCCCAAACTTGCTGGTAAGACTCTTTGCCTAATGCAGCGGGTTTCATCAATAGATCGCGCCTTACGGAGCTCCCTTGTTAGTTGCAGGAGGACGTGAAGTTACTGCCGAGGGCCTGTTTGGTGTCAACTTGTCCCGGCTACAGGAAGCTGGAAAAGAAGCTTGACCCGCATAATGTATTTCGCAAGTGACACATCTTCTTGCGCAAGCGAGATTCCATAATGTAGAATAAGGAGACAAAGCCTAATCTCAACCTGAGGGTTCTATTTGAACTTTTCCTCTGCTGTTCTGATATGCAAACCGAAGTAGCAAAGATGCCTCATGTGTTACCACACCAGCGGGGCTTTCCAGTAGTCAACTGTAAGGAGTCCGCATAACGAAGGAAGCAAGAGATACTGCCAATGACTGGAAGAGCACGCACCAGTCAGGAGACGGAGTCAGTGACTATCTCTCTTGAGCCTCGCCCGGAAAGCGCATCCCATCCACGGTCATCTTTGACAAAATTGGTTCATTTCTCCGCGGACGTACAATACCTGTATGGGCTTGTTCTGGGGCTTATTCTGGGGCTTATTCCAAAATCAGCAGAAAGCCCTTGCGAACTGCTTCACCCGGTGCATACGCCCTGGTAAAACTTCTTCAATGACACCGCGACATGCAACTATGTACCTTCTTAACTCAAAAGCCACTACTTTTATATTCGCTCTCTTTCTTTAAAAGAAATCCTTTATCTTCGGAGCTTACAAGGATTGAGTGAAGGCCCAGCCTACTATCGGCCGAGCCAGCACCTATACTTTTACAACCCTTCCGAAATACTGCCCGTCGCCAGCCGGACAGTACGTCGCTATTCCTTCCCGATGGGCAAATTCTTAACCACTTATGATGTCGTTGATGTCCATGCTATTAGTTGAGCATAATGCTGGTGGACGTCACTTCTGCGTCAAGAAGAAGAGGGGACGTTTATGTTTCTGTGGGACTGCCAATAGCTTTTCCCTTCCCGGTGAGGCGTTCCGGGCGACAACAGCCCCCCTCATGGTTCCACGGAAAGCAACACTGAAGGCAATACCGGTATAATAGGGATTATATTCCAGCTATAGTTAGGGTAGTATTCCACATGGTGAGCCTCGTGTTTCACCCAACCTGGAGTCTATGATGGAATTGAGCAACAAGACGCCAATTTCGCATAAGGGAATGGCCACCGTTAGTTCACGTTCGATGCAGAGTCCTGGTCCGCAGACTGTGGGCAGGCACATCGCCTGAACTCCCGTATACGTCATCATTGTCCTTATATCAAGTGAATCGCTTCTCATTCGCACAAAAACATCAAAGTGGGCTCAACTTATTGTGGTGTTATAAGAGCACTGCGTCATCTCCATCCCTACCGCGGGCTGGCAGGGTAATTTCTCTCACGTAGGTTGGATTAGCTTAATTTCTATTGGTTACACCTCCTCCCTTCTCGGTAACTAGAAAAGGTAGAATGGAGGAGGGGCCGCTCGGTCCTATCTTTTCTATTATATAACAGGTTCAGTGAGAATTATGTGTGGTTATGGATAGGGATGTTTTGAGCCACTGGTAGCATCTGAGCAGAGCTCAGTATTATATCTATCTATATGTTGTACCTGCTGCATCCAGGTTACTGCGATTAGAGCTCATGTGAGGAGTATATTTCTAGAGGATGTACTAGATGAATTATGAAACTTCCTAGCCTCGCTTTCAGGTGTGATATGATGGAGAGATATCCATGCAACTGGGCACTTGCAATTCTTATTCCAGAGTTATCATGATGGATAAAGTCGCTGCTAGTGGATTTGATAAACTTATAACAGCATATAGTGCGCAAGCTATTCATTACTCCACCATGTATTTTCTCTTTTTCCAGTCAGACTGATGATATTCAAAAAGCTTACCAGACACGTGTCTGTTCTGCCTGGAGAATCTGGGATTGGATATGTTTTACTACTAGCTGGCATGCGGCCATTATTTTCACTCGCCCTGTATCACTGACTGGATAGATCGAGGATCAAACCGCTGCCCATTGTGCTGTTGACATTTGGAAATAACGCTATGGTTGCTTAGAGAATATTTTATAATACAGTCTCGATTTCGAGGTTCGCCATCAAACCATAGCATATACTTGAGAACTGGGTCTGGTTTCTTGCACAAGGTTTCGGGATATGTTTACCAGAACAAGGCACAGGTAATAACAGGATTTGAATTATATAGTTATTTGAATCTATATTTGTCACAACTTTCATAAGATCCACGCCAGCCAGGTAGTCTTGGGCTCAAGCCTTGTCTTTTAGGATTTAATATTCTATATTACCAGATGTAAAACCACACCATACTTACTCACGCCAATCATGGGCAACTAGAACTGCATTTGTAATCCTAGTGGCTTCGAAGAACTGAATCAATTAGTGGATTTGGACTTTAAATATGATTCTCTCAGGGCGCAGAATCTTATCACTTCTGCTGTAACGAAGCTAATCCAAAGCGTAGACATCGTGTCCTTATCGAGACAAAGGAGGCAATGTCTACATTAAATCCGGATCACGCTCGTAGTCAGTTTCAAGCCCGGCTTCATGACCTATAGAGAAAGGGGACACTAGCACATTTCTCCCACATATAGCTGCAGCTTGGATTACCATGCAGAAAGACAATCGGTCTTTTCTTTTTCTCGACGCCTGTTCGCTCGTCGGTTTTAAGTGGATGAATCGGACAGTCGCCCCACAGACAGTGCCATCTGGTCTGCAACGGCCCGACAATTCTCCGAGCATCTAACGAGCTTATCCCACCCGCCAACGGTCAAGTAATTCGGTGCTTTGCACAGAATAGGTGGGATACTATGGATAGAAGGCTTGAATGGGTAGAGGGGCAGGAGAGCCATGAGTAAGAATAAGGGAATGAGGGTGAAAGAAAGAATAAGAGCACTTTAATGACCATATAGATACACCGCTACAAAGAGAGTTGCAGTGATGTAGGATGGATTCATGGTAGCCCACATATATTTACCATGATGATGATTCTAGCTGCCCGATCCACTGTTGGAATAACTATTCGGTATTATTTTATCAACTGCAACCAGTGAAAGGGGGTTTAGAAGTATGTTATTAATAATATTTACTGAGTATTGTATGTATATCTTTTATTACTTATCTCTTTTGTCTTGTGTAAGGGCCAGATCTGATTACAGAAAATATTTATAAAGAGAATATAGAAAAGATCTAGTATTAGATAAAATTTATGCAACACAATCTAGTAATAATTAGTAACAGGGATTATGTACTATGATATCCCCAGCAGGCTGCAAGTATGCTAAGTGGCCAGAGCTCAATGACAGCTCATTATACAGACCGGGGATTATTTATAGTCCCGGCTCTCTTATCCTGTGTTCCAGTAAAAAGGCCCTGCTACTCAGAATCCCTAGAAGAGCCCCCGGCTGGATAACAGAAAAGTAGTAGAATAACTATTCAGATTAACTTTCAGATCCAGGGACTGGGGGAGCAGTTTGATTAGAAACAGATAAGGATAAGATAATAATAATATTAATAGTAATATCCTGAGAATAACAGTCATAGTAAATATCTTAGATTAAGATTTATTAGCAGATACTCCTGTTGCTCCTAACCTCCTTATAGAGTAAGAAATAAGACTCTGTACATGGATCAAGGTCTATTCTTTTAGAGTGTGGCTGCCCTATCTCTATCCGTGGTATCTAGAGGCCCTTGGTCAGACCGTACTCTTGTCTTGACTATCTAATGCTAATAAGGGTGGTAGTCTGTCCACAATATCTCTATCTCTTCTATTATAGGGCAATTACATAGAGAAAGATCATATCAAGATACTTCTATATAATTAATTAATAACCCCATCCTTCAGTCCACTAGTAACCTGCATTCTCTGTAAATCAGCAAGCACAATGCTACTATATCACCACTGACCAAGCCCAGACTATCTATAATAATATTACAATAACTATTATATCCAACCTTCCATACTTTTCTCAAAAAGAAATAATAAAACAGAAAAAAATATGAGCCTATCTCTTTATATTTCTTCAAGTAATTCTATTTTAATAATATATCTTGACCCTGCCTATAAAAATATACTATTTAGACCCGCACAGTCAGTACCTTAGGAAATTTCTCGAAACGTGGAACAAGCCTGGTTATATTATATATATAATAATCTCAGTTATAGTTACTGCATTAACATTGACATCAGCGAGTAGTCATGGTAGACTAATAACTAATATAAGTATTATTATCTAGAGTCTAAGTAAGACCTATAATTTATCTACTATAAGTTTATAAATCTTTTTTCTATCTTAACTAATAAGCATCTGTCCCAAAGCCTATTATATACTCATATACTCCATACTATACACACTATAATATAACTATTAGAATGGCTTTGAATTTCAGTACTAGTAACCCCGGAAACTCCGCCAACCACCCCTACAAAAGGAGTCTAAAATATCGCCCGTAAGAGTGGTTAATCTGGCTACTCCGGTGAATTTACTCTATGGATAAAAATAAGCAGGTAACTCGACATCCTGTCTCCTATCTCTACAGGATAAACTCTTAACTAAAGTGAACAGTATAATATCGCCTTTATTGGCGGCCAAGCCTCCGGTGGTAGTTTCCAGCCCGGTGAAGAACGGGCCCGGGAAGCCAGCCACAAGGGCGGAAATATCATGTAGAGAGAGCTTCGAGCCGGGAGATCCCCAGGCTTAAGAGGCTGGTCGGGAGGGAGGATAGGGGACTGGGGATATGCTGGAGGAGTAATTACTACTGTTCTCAATTATATTATGATCAGCCATGTTAGGGGAAAGGGTTTGTTATATGATATGAATCAAGCTGTATTATTAGTCAAGTATGGATTAAATATATTCAGTATAGAAGCTATGACATTATTACTATTCTAATTAATAATCAGGTTTGGCAGCATGGCACACATATTAGAAGAGGTGTTAGGATATTGGGAGGTGATTATTATTATAATCTTAATTAAGTAAGTAGTGCCGTCGCGAATACTATTAGCTACTTAATCAGTTATTATTAAAAATAATAATAATAGTTAATATACTTGAATAGGTTCATCCTCAAGGAATTACTTGAAAATATAATATGATTAAAATAATTAGATTAAAGCTAATCTTTGCCTTTATCAGAAAATACCCCTTGCTATATTATATCCAGGAAAATCATTAAGTATGCTAGCTATTACTATTATTAATTATATCTATAATCTAGCTCAGACACAGCATTTTTCACTGTCATTAATAATTATAACTCTGAACAAAGTTCCGAAAAGAAAAATAGCTAGAGGAGGTAATATAAGAGAAAAGAAAAAAGAAAAAAACTATTAGAAAAGATAAAAGATAGAAATATTAAGAAAGAAAGAAAACAGAAATATTTATAGTATCTTATTATATAGATATTAATTATATTACTACAGATTATTATATACAGATTATTAATAATCTTAAAATTAAATCTTTATTTAGGATCTTTTTGTCTCTCTCTTACTAAGTTATCCGCGGCAGCTGTAAATTATACTAGATTTTTAATATCTATTATTATATCCTGCTTCTTCTTAGAGCTTTTTATTAGAGGTAATGACTTTTTTTTCTTCTCTGAACTCTAGATTATTATATTAGTTTTATCAGAAAGCTATTTTATTATTTTTGTTAAATAGTACTTAATCCTTTTATTT